GGGAGTTTACGGCCTCGGGTACAATTCCACCGTGTCCAAAACTTAGACACTATTTAAAGTGATCTAAGCACTCATTTGAAGCTTTTTCTACCTCTCTCTACTCTCTCTCTCTCTAACCTCTCCCCTAAATCCAAGTTTAAAGGTCCAAATCATCAATTTTAGGCTCCAAATCTTTGAGGTACTTCCCCTAGCTTGTTATGTAACATCCCTAGCCTTCAAATTCGAGTCCAACACATGGATTAGGGCCATATTCATGAGTTTATGGCCATGGAACCATCCTAGGCTGTAAACTCATATAACATGGGTTTTGGAGCACAAAAACCCTTCCTAAACACAATTGGACCTTAGATATGGCTAGATGGCATCATGGAATGGACTTGTAACATTTTAATCTTGGATTTTGAGTCATTTGAAGGAGTTTACGGCCAAGGCACAAGCTTGGGCCGTAAACTCATGTAAATGGGGTTTTCATGACCTTAAACCCTTCCAAATCACAAACAAGACTTAGATATGACTTGTAGAATATTGGTAATGGACCTAGAACACCTTGAACATAATTTTTGAGGGGTTTGTGTGAGTTTATGGCCAAGGCATGTTCTTGGGCTGGAAACTCCTTAAAATGGGTGTAAATTCAATTTCAAGGTGTTAGAAAGCCATCCAACACCACCAAAAGCCTTGGAATAAATCATAGGACCAACCAAAAATAGTTTAAGGACCTTAAACACATCAAAACCCCACATTTGAGAGTTTACAGCCATAGAAGATGCCCCATGGCTGTAAACTCCTAAAAGTGTGTCAAATGGTGCCCAAAATTCATTTATAGGCTTGTTGGAATTTTTAGAATCACATGTGATTAATTTTAAGACCTTAAAAACACTTATTCAAGGAGATAAGAGAGCTTACGGCCATAGACCCCATGCTTAGGCCGTAAACTCCCTTAAGTGTTGCAAATGGTGATTTTAATCCATTCCAAACTTTTGGTAAAATCATTCCAAGCATTTCCAAGTGTCCATATCCATTTGTGACCCAATTTGCAACATAAATCACCCCACCATGAGTTTACGGCCGTAAACTCATGGGGAGTGGGTGTTTAGGCCGAAAACTCCATTAAGGAGTTTACTCTTGGGGAGTAAACTCATTTCCCAAGTCCCTCGCATCGTTACACGTCCTTAAACGCCACACGGGTCCCTCCAAACGCTTGTAATGAAGCGTTTTCGCGATTAGAAGCATATGTCCCTAACAAATAAATAATTTAAGTCCTAATTAGAGGCAAATGTGTATCATTTGATAATCCATAGGAATCTTGTGCATTTGCAAACCCAGAACCGACGTTTAGAATCCAAACCGATGCGTTCTCCAACCGGTGAGTTCATACCCCTACCATTTTTCAACTGTTTTCACTGTTTTCAGGGGGAATACAACCAAAAGTACAAGGAAATCTTGTACTCAAACTTATTGTTTTCATTTTAATCATTTTCATTCTGTATGTTCTAATATCAATAATTGTGTTTATCAAATAGTTCGAATTACGAATTTAGCTTTCAAACTAATCATAGATTTCTTGATAAAATGTTCTAATCTAAACTATGTTTCATAATCTACGAATAATTTATACTAATCTCCAATTATAACTAATTCGAATACGAATACGAATACAAAACGATAACTAGGAATAGAACGAATACGAAACTATAACTAGGAATAGAATGAATACGAAACTATAACTAGGAATAGAACGAATACGAAACTATAACTAGGAATAGAACGAATACGAAACTATAACTAGGAATAGAACGAATATGAAGCTATAACTAGGAATAGAACAAATACAAAGCTACAACTAGGAATAGAACGAATACAGAAGTATAACTAGAAATGGAACAAATAGGAATACTAAAATAATAATACGAATACGAATACGAATACGAATACAAATACAAATACGAATACGAATACGAATACGAATAGTATTAGGAGTAGGATTAGGGATAAGAACACGACTGCGAATACGAATACGAATACTATTAGGTTTAGGAGTAGGGATAGGAATACGAATATGAACAGGACTACAAATATAACTACAAATACAAATATAAATTAAAAACTATGAATACGATAAAGAATAGGAATATGAATACGAAGACACGTATCTAGGTACACCCTAGTGTAATACCTTTAGGATATCAGAATACCTAGTTAATACAATAAGTACGAATGGTAATTAATCATTACATCGAAATCCAATAACTAAACTTACTTTTAGGAAAATATAGGGTTTTCCTAGGATCATAGTTAATCATAACCAGGACCACGTAACCTAAAACAGTTAACTAAAAATTTCTTTTAAGAAAATATGGGATTTTCTTGGATACCAAACTTTTTGGAAGAATCAAAGGAAACTCGTACATTTTTCACAAAACAAACATCTTATGAACTCACCAGCTTTATGCTGATTTTTAAACTACTTGTATTCTCAGGTCGACATTAGACAGGTACCTAGCGAATCTTTTGGAGAAGATGGAGCGTATAGAAGACTCGTCTCTACTTTTGTTCATATGATATATGTATAACACTTGTAACACTTTACTTTTGAACAAATGTAAATTCGAATATGTAATGTAATGTCTGTTTACTTTGCTTACTATGTACATTGGATTTGATACTCAACTTGGAGTCAAACCCGGAAACGTTTCCGCTTTTGGTTTTCGGGGTGTGACACGTCCATCCCTGCTAGCCAATCCGTTCCTGCAATTCAATTCGTTCCCCTAATCAGGTATGTCTTCCATATCCTCCCTGTACAATCTTCTTGCTCAATTCCTTCATCTAATCATCTTCTCTATGCATGAAACCATTGAATATGAAAAGATTATACAAATCGGCATGTGACTTCACTGTGTTTGATGCTTCCTGTCATCTTCTTTTTTTTGTTTTCGTTGATTCAAGAATCACATAATACCTAAACACCCGAATAACACCCTGGTATTTGTAGAATACTTTTATAATAGATGTAGAATTAATGTTATGTTTTAGACCCGCGTGTTAGGCACGTTACAGGTCTTTCTCTGTTTTGTTAGAACTTGTTCTACATCTTAATCATTCTTAATTAATGTGTTAGTTATAAAATCACCACATATGAAATAGCAACAATTTTTTGAAAGGAGTAATGTATACAGAAACTTATGTTCTTTTGGTCACATAATACATTTGACAGGATTGCATATCACATATTTATGCCTTTGATATACTCTATAAACTTCTACCTCATAACTGTCAACATTATGATGAATTTAATTACATGATTCTCACAGATTATTAACAATTACAAATATGTTCGTTTATAAATAGGTTGTAGAAGCTAAACTAAATCACAAAGTTTTCATTAAAAGTCAAAAGTCAAAACTAAACCACAACTCTACTCATTCCCAATATTGAACACTTGGTAGTCAACAGTTAATCTTTGTCATTGAGATTTTTTTTTCTTTTTCTTTTTCTTGAGCAAATGAATTTTTAGGATTAGGAAAGTGCCATGACCAGCCAAGATGATGATGGGGAAAAAGACAAAGGCTAGTGGTTACTCTGATGTTCATGGCCATTATAATACAACGTAGAATTTCTAAAAAAAAGTAACCATAATTTACTTAGTAAGGAAGAAATATTAAAGCATCAACTTGAACAAGAACGGCTATTACACAAACTTATTAAAGGTGGGAAATGTCGTGAGCTTATTCGTGTGAGTGAACAAGCTTTTAGAAAGTTGTGTACTATCTTATGACGTGATGGTAAATTGCGGCTTATGCAACGCATGTCTGTTGAAGAACATGTTGCAAGGTTTCTACACATTGTAGGTAACGATATGAGAAACACAATGGTCTCCTTCATTTATGGGCGTGCTAAATCTACAACAAGTAGGTGCTTCCATAAAGTTCTTTGCGAAGTTGTAGCACTAGAAAGTTACTACACTCAACAACCTAAAGGTGACGTGGTCCCGAAAGAAATTCAAGAGAAAAAGAGATTTTATCCATACTTCAAGAATTGTGTAGGGGCAATTGACGGGACATATGTTTGTGTAAAAGTACCCAATAGAGATGCCCCTAGATATCGTAGTCGCAAGGGTTACCCTGCCATAAATGTCTTAGCCGCATGTTCATTTGATTTGAAGTTTACGTACGTTTTAACTAGGTGGGAGGGCACTGCCTCAGACTCAAGGATAATGAAAGATACACTTAAAAGAGATGATAAGCTACTAATTCCTAATGGTAATTTTTGTTAACTACTTTAATTTTGTGTGGAGTCTTTTATTAGAAAACTAATTACATGTTATTTATAGGCCGATATTGTTTGGTAGATGTTGGTTTACCTCATACCATTGAACTAATGACACCATATAGAGGTGTCAAATACCATTTGAAAGAGTATTCTGCTCACCCCCCAGTGAATGCAAGAGAGTTGTTTAATCTTCGACATGCTTCTTTACGTAACTTGATAGAACGGGCATTTGGTGTTCTAAAAAGAAGGTTCCCAATCGTTAGATGTACACAAGAAACTTTTTACTCATGCGACACACAATCAGATATTTTTTAGGTATGTTGTATCTTACACAATTTTTTACTAGACGAAGATCATGACAAAAAACTTGAATATGAAGTCTTACAAGAGGTGTTGGATGAACAACCACAACAAGTGAGACATGATGTTAATAACGGATGTGTGCGTAGTGATGGGGCTGGGGAATTGAGGAACACTATTACAACTCAAATGTGGAATGATTACTTGTTGAAACCAAACAATGAAATAGATATGTCTAATTAGTTTTATAGTAGATAAATAATTTATCAGTTTTACTTCATTCTATTAATTTAGTTTAATTTTGTAGTGACATTTGCAATTTATTTTTTTGATGGTGTTATTTAGATTATGAACCATCTCTTTTTTATAAATATTTGTACAATTTTTTAACAATATATTTCTCATTATGTTATCTTTATATGTATAGAGCGATCATGAACAAAAGGGCAGCTGATGGAAGTGTTGTGAAAAAAGAAAATTTGACATGGACAGATCATATGGATAATGTTCTCGTTGAAGCTCTTGTAAAGGAAGATCAAATATGTAATCGGGTGAATGGTACTTTCACTTCGCAAGCATATGCGAACATGATTGCACGGATGAGTAAAGAGTTTAACAAGTCTGTTACAAAAGATCAACTTAAAAACAAAATGAAATTTTTAAAAGGTAATTTTAGTAAATGGTATGATATGTATTGGGGTACTTCATTGAGTGGGTTCTCATGGAATTCTCAGACAAAATACATTGAAGCAGAGGAGGAAGTATGGGAACAATTAATTAATGTACGTGTTGGTTTTATGTTTGATTTATTGTTTTATATAACTTTTTTACCATTAACTTTACTAATTAATTTTTGGGTTTGTTTATAAACATGCAAACCCTTAAGAAGTTGCATTCACGACCAAAAAAATTTTAAACTATGATCAGTTGGTGATATTTTCAGATGATAGAGCATCAGAATAAAAAGCAGAAACAACAAAAGAAAAAAAAACACCCAATAGAGCATCAGAATCAAAAGCAGAAACAACAAAAGAAAAAAAAACACCCGGTTAAGCAAATCCAAAGAAATTAAAATAGAATAAGTTGTTGACGTGGATAAACTAATGGCAAATAAGGAGGTAATTTTGGAGAACGAATACAAAGATGATGATGAGGACATTCATATAGTGTTCGCAACAGATGTTTTACCTAATGGGAGTTCACAAGCCAAGAAGCTGAAGAGTAAAAAAAAAAAAAAACTTGAAAGAAAACTTCAAGATGAAGATGAAGTAGTAGCTGAACCTCAACCTCAACCTCAACCATAATCTCTTGAACACAATATTGTGCAAACATTAAAAGAAATCGTTGATGTTATGAGGGAAGGGAACAAATCTTGTGACTATACAAGTGAGGAAATTGAGAAAGAGTTAGAGTTGATGGGTTTGGATGTCGACGAATTTGTAGATGCTTTTATATAGAACTAAAAGAACATGTATAAAAACAATTGTCCAAACGAAAAACTAGAATTAGACTTTAAGAATGATCTGTCCCACACAAATTCTTTAAGAATGGGATAAACAATTGATGTAGACAAATTTCAAGGAAACAAAATCCATAAATCCAATAACTATCACATTCTTTCAAAATATGTTTTCTAATGTAAAAATTCAAAAAAAAAAAAAAAAAAAAAAAAAAAAAAAAAAAAAAACCCTATTTGTGTTTAATAAGTATAAATTGAAATTACTTATAATTTTTTGAGTAAAGTATTGTATATTGAATTTTCATTTTTTATCACCATTAAATTTTGATAGGTGACATAAAATACTTAAGAAAATTTTGCTTTTAAGAACCACTAAATCACTTATTAGTATTCTAAATTTCATACTACTTATTTCCATCATAGATTATAACTCAAAGCTTTTAACATTAAACTCTTATATAAACTTATCTTTTTTTTTTTGCAAAAAGAAAAAAAGAAAATTAAAGCTAATGTAAAGAAAATACCAACTTACTGATTACCGACAATGACAAAAAAAAAGTGCACCATTGCCACAACAAATCGTTGAGCAGTTGGTAGGTGTAAACCAAAAACAAAAAAGAGAAATTTTTACTTCCATCCTTAAAAAATCAGAGTCTGATCATCATTCTTCTCGTAAGAAAAAATGTGTTTGCGGCTATAAAGAAGGTGGTGTGAAGAAGCTTCTGGTTTTGCTTGTTAAAAAATGAAATATTTATCATGGGTATGGAAGATCTGTGATGATGGTGGATGATTCGGGTAAAGCCAATAGTAGGTAAGGTTGTGATGATGTTGAACATGTTCAGTGATGGTGGTGGAAACTAGGTGGTGGCGTGAAGGTTGAAGATGGAGATGGGAAGAAGGTCGAATGCGAACTCGTGAACAAGAGCTATGTAGGGTTCTTCAAAATCTGAAATCTTCGAATGAACGTGATATCAGTTCACTTCCATAATTATAGGATTATAACAAGGTAATTTAATTAATTAATTAATGGAAACTATAATTATTTATATAATTTGCCTCTATAATGATTGGTTTAGAATTAATCTTACATTCACACAATATTTATATTTCATATATGAACCTCTCTCTCTCTCTCTCTCTCTCTATATATATATATATATATATATATATATATATATATATATATATATATATATATATATATATATGATGGGTTTTAGGTAAAACAAATAAACTAGAAAACAATTCCTAAGTTCACATGCAACCTACTTTGGATCTATGTTTTAACTATTGAACATTTAACTTTGAACTGCAAACAAGAACCCTAAAGGAGAGAGGCTATTTTGAAAAATAACTAAATAGGGTTTAAGAGTTACTTACCTTTCAATTGTTATAGTAAACAATTGATAATCCTCTTGAACTTGATCTTCTTGGAAGTCTAGCACCACAAATGTAATGCCTCTAATGGAATCACACCCAAGAACTAGCAAGAAGGAAACTTGAAGGAGGGAGGGTAGGGTATGCAAAAATCGGCCTAGGGTTTCTTCCAAGGTAGGAGTGGCCGATTTTAGGAGCTGGGAGGCTCATTATATAGCTGAGGGATCTTGGGTTTTGGGAAAACCCTAATATTCCTTTGCTTGGGGCCTAAGCTAATCCAAAGGCCTTATCAAAAGCTGCTTGGACGAAATCCTTAGGGTTTCCCCTATAGATTTCGTCCACCTCCCTCCAACGAGGTTCTGGAGCCTTCCACTCAACTATCTGATAATTGCAAACTAGTCGCTGCACTTTATAATTAATGTTTTTAACCCCAAAATTAATTCTAATTAATTTCTGTCTAACTATTAATTAAAGATTATGATTTCTAATCAAGATATTAATCTTTTAACATATTATTAAATCATTTATATTAATTTATTAATCTTATAATAAATCAATATCTCTCCTTTCATAATTTCTTTGTCCGGTTGCTAGGTTTGAGGGCAACCCAAAAGGACTGTGCTGCTATCAATTCAAGTACATACCAATTATAGTTATGGGCTTAGACACCTAATCCAATAGTCCCCCACTTGGATAAGTCTGTAACTATAATTGCTAGTATGACTTCTAAATTTGACCAGCAAATTGTAGCTTCCAAAAGATGCTGCCGAACTCTGACCCAGTCAGTTACGTGTCCTAAGATAAGTGATCACATGACCCTTCGTTCTACTAGATATCTCTAGACATAAGACATGGAATACAATCAATCTCTTTGTCCAGAATCTATGTTTCCCGATTTCTGATTTGTGATGATATAGGACTTCTAATCGAACACATCAATTTAGTCCTGGCTGGGCCCAGCACAAAAGTCAACACTAAATCATCGAGGGGCCCATATATATCGCTTTTCCCGTTAGGGAAAAAGGAACGAATAAACATTGATTCATATGCTTGTATCTTTTACTCATCAAACCATACATGACAATACGTTTTATAACACCAAGTTACTGATGCGTTTTCGTATCACCAATGTATAGCCGACTTGCAAATTACAACTCATATATCTATGTTTCAAGATCGTAGATATTATTGTCTCAGCATTACTCGTGATGAATTCCATGAAGGAATACTCTGAGCGTGGGTTTATCCAATACTCAAATCTCACTCTTTGAGTACTCATGAACATTGCAACAATTCTATTACTATGTCTATCCTTAGACAATCTGCAATCTAATTCATGACAGTCTTAATTCACTACTTACTTCCAAAAGTACGAGTAACTGTGGAGTTTGAACAATCATATTATTCGGGAAGTAAAACATGAAAAATATGAAACATAATAATAAACAATTGACAAAAGGCAGTAAACAAACTCATAAATAATACTTTATTATTTAATCACCAAAAGTCAATTACATTTACTTTGTAACAAGTTTCTGAACTAGACTAATCTAACCACTAAAACTAATATCATCTTTCAGACCTATGCTTTAAGCATGCTGAATATGCTTAGCCCTACTCAGACCCTTTGTGAGGGGGTCTACTGTGTTATCTTCAGATGATACCCTCTTTACAACAAGATGACCTTCTTCTACTCTATGCCTGATGAAATGGTACTTTCTGTCGATATGTCTGGTTTTACCATGGTCTTTGGGTTCCTTAGTTAAGGCAACCTCTCCCTCATTATCGCAGAACAGTTCCATAGGCTCCTGGATTGTTGGAACAACTCCGAGATCCCCGATGAAGTTCCTCAACCAAGCTGCTTCTTTAGACGCTTCACTCGCTGCTATGTACTCTGATTCACAAGTAGAATCAGCCACCGTATCTTGCTTGGAACTTTTCCAAGTAACTGCTCCTCCATTTAGTAGAAATACCCAGCCAGATTGAGAACGGAAGTTATCTCTATTCGTTTGAAAGCTGGCATCACTGTAACCATCTACTCTCAAAGTATCATTGCCACCAAGTACAAGGACCCAGTCCTTCATTCTTCGCAAATATTTGAGTATATTCTTTACTTCTATCCAATGAGCTCTACCTGGGTTTCCTTGATATCGAATGACCATGCTAAAAGCAAAGGCCACATCAGGGTGAGTACATTTCATCGCGTACATGATTGATCCGATAACGGAAGCATAAGGTACACGACTCATGTCAGCTATTTCCTCATCTGTACTAGGTCATTGAGTATTACTCAAATTTATGTTGCTCTAGATAGGTAGCTCTCCCTTCTTGGAATTTTCCATACTAAACCTCTTTAGTACCTTATCCAAGTATGTGCTCTGACTAAGTCCAATTAGTCTCTTCTTTCTATCTCTCAATATCCTAATCCCAAGAATATAGGCAGCTTCTCCAAGGTCTTTCATGGCAAAACACTTTCCAAGCCAAGACTTAACTTCGTTCAAGGTTGGAATGTAGTTACCAATGAGTAATATGTCATCGACATATAAAACCATAAAATTTACTATACTCCCACTAGCCTTGATATACACACAAAACTCATCTTCCTTCCTAGAGAAACCAAACTCTTTGACTTTCTCATGGAAGCAAAGATTCCAGCTGCGAGATGCTTGTTTCAATCCATAAATTGATTTCTCAAGCTTACACACTTTATTGGGAAAATTTGCATCAACAAAACTCTCTGGCTGATTTATGTAAACATCATCAGCCAGCTTCCCGTTAAGGAAAGCAGTCTTGACATCCATCTGCCAGATTTCATAGTCATGAAAGGCAGCTATGGCAAGCAATATCTTGATAGATTTAATCTTGGCTACTGGCGAGAATGTTTCATCATAGTCAACCCCTGGGGTTTGTGTGAAACCTTTCGCAACTAGTCTAGCCTTGAATGTGTGTACATTCCCATCCATGTCTGACTTCTTCTTAAATATCCATTTGCACCCAACTGACTTACGATCCGGTGCATTATCAACCAAATTCCAAACTTGGTTGTCATACATGGACTTTATCTTGTTGTCCATTGCCACTTTCCACTTAGAAGCCTCTGGGCCTACCATTGCTTCCTTATAAGAGACTGGTTCATCTAAATTCACCAGTGTCCTATCACTGATGAATGTGACACCGTCTGAAGTAATATGAAAACCATACAACTCAGGCGGCACACTCACCCTAATGGATCTTTGAAGAGGTAATGATTTAACAACTGGTTCAACAGGAACTGTTTCCTCTGGTTAAGTGCTAGTGTCATCTAAGTTTCCTTCATTAGTTGTGTCACACCCCAAAACCGGAACGGCGGAAACGTTCTGGGTGGATGACGTCATGTCAAGTATCACAACACATGCATTATAGTAATCAAAGTACAACAAAACATTGCATTAATAGTAATATTTTTACAAGGTTACATTACAACACTTT